AGAACAGTGGGAGCAGATCACAGCCAGGGACAGAACAGTGGGAGCAGATCACAGCCAGGGGCCGTACAGTGGGAGCAGATCACAGCCAGGGACAGAACAGTGGGGGCAGATCACAGCCAGGGACAGAACAGTGGGAGCAGATCACCGCCAGGGACAGAACAGTGGGAGCAGATCACCGCCAGGGACAGAACAGTGGAGCAGATCACAGCCAGGGACCGAACAGTGGGAGCAGATCACAGCCAGGGACAGAACAGTAGGTGCAGATCACAGCCAGGGACCGAACAGTGGGAGCAGATCACAGCCAGGGACAGAACAGTGGGAGCAGATCACAGCCAGGGACAGAACAGTGGGAGCAGATCACAGCCAGGGACAGAACAGTGGGAGCAGATCACAGCCAGGGACAGAACAGTGGGAGCAGATCACAGCCAGGGACAGAACAGTGGGAGCAGATCACAGCCAGGGACAGAACAGTGGGAGCAGATCACAGCCAGGGACAGAACAGTGGGAGCAGATCACAGCCAGGGACAGAACAGTGGAGCAGATCACAGCCAGGGACAGAACAGTGGGGGCAGATCACAGCCAGGGACCGAACAGTGGGAGCAGATCACAACCAGGGACAGAACAGTGGGAGCAGATCACCGCCAGGGACAGAACAGTGGAGCAGATCACAGCCAGGGACAGAACAGTGGGAGCAGATCACAGCCAGGGGACAGAACTTTGGGAGCAGATCATAGCCAGGGACAAAACAGTGGGTGCAGATCACAGCCAGGGAGAGAACAGTGGGAGCAGATCACAGCCAGGGACAGAACAGTGGGAGCAGATCACAGCCAGGGACAGACAGAACAGTGGGAGCAGATCACAGCCAGGGACAGAACAGTGGGAGCAGATCACAGCCAAGGACAGGGTGGGAGCAGATCACAGCCAGGGAGAACAGTGGGAGCAGATCACAGCCAGGGACAGAACAGTGGGAGCAGATCACAGCCAGGGGACAGAACAGTGGGAGCAGATCACAGCCAGGGACAGAACAGTGGGAGCAGATCACAGCCAGGGACAGAACAGTGGGAGCAGATCACAGCCAGGGACAGAACAGTGGGAGCAGATCACTGCCAGGGGACAGATCAGTGGGAGCAGATCATAGCCAGGGGACAGAACAGTGGGAGCAGATCACAGCCAGGGACAGAACAGTGGGAGCAGATCACAGCCAGGGACAGAACAGTGGGAGCAGATCACAGCCAGGGGACAGAAGTGGGAGCAGATCACAACGAGGGACAGAACAGTGGGTGCAGATCACAGCCAGGGACAGAACAGTGGGAGCAGATCACAGCCAGGGACAGAACAGTGGGAGCAGATCACAGCCAGGGAACAGATCAGTGGGAGCAGATCATAGCCAGGGACAGAACAGTGGGAGCAGATCACAGCCAGGGACAGAACATTGGGAGCAGATCACAGCCAGGGGACAGAACAGTGGGAGCAGATCACAGCCAGGGACAGAACAGTAGGTGCAGATCATAGCCTGGGACAGAACAGTGGGAGCAGATCACAGCCAGGGACAGAACAGTGGGAGCAGATCACAGCCAGGGACAGAACAGTGGAGCAGATCACAGCCAGGGGACAGAACAGTGGAGCAGATCACAGCCTGGGGACAGAACAGTGGGAGCAGATCACAGCCAGGGACAGAACAGTGGGAGCAGATCACAGCCAGGGACAGAACAGTGGAGCAGATCACAGCCAGGGACAGAACAGTGGGAGCAGATCACAGCCAGGGGACAGAACAGTGGGAGCAGATCACAGCCAGGGACAGAACAGTGGGAGCAGATCACCCCCAGGGTACAGAACAGTGGAGCAGATCACAGCCAGGGACAGAACAGTGGGAGCAGATCACAGCCAGGGACAGAACAGTGGGAGCAGCAGATCACAGCCAGGGGACAGAACAGTGGGAGCAGATCACAGCCAGGGGACAGAACAGTTGCAGCAGATCACAGCCAGGGGACAGAACAGTGGGTGCAGATCATAGCCTGGGACAGAACAGTGGGAGCAGATCACACCCAGGGGACAGAACAGTGGAGCAGATCACAGCCTGGGGACAGAACAGAGGAGCAGATCACTGCCAGGGGACAGAACAGTGGGAGCAGATCACAGCCAGGGACAGAACAGTGGGAGAAGATCACAGCCAGGGACAGAACAGTGGAGCAGATCACAGCCAGGGGACAGAACAGTGGGAGCAGATCACAGCCAGGGACAGAACAGTGGGAGCAGATCACACCCAGGGATAGAACAGTGGAGCAGATCACAGCCAGGGGACAGAACAGTGGGAACAGATCACAGCCAGGGACAGAACAGTGGGAACAGATCACAGCCAGGGACAGAACATTGGGAACAGGTCACAGCCAGGGACAGAACAGTGGGAACAGATCACAGCCAGGGACAGAACAGTGGGAGCAGCAGATCACAGCCAGGGACAGAACATTGGGAACAGATCACAGCCAGGGATAGAACATTGGGAACAGGAACGGAGTGTAGTAGTGCGTGTGGGGACTCCCAGGAAGAACATAGTCTCCCGCTCACGTGGACTATCCGATAGTAAGTAAAGTCACTCCTACGGCCAGCATATTGTCATTATCTTGCCTCGGTTAGGGACTATAGTTAGGAAAGGTCTATTAAAGTGTGATAAATTAAGAACTATACTCAAGTGTCATACCAGTGTCTATTAATGGTGCCTGTCTTAGTGATATTACCGGACGGCTTATCGTCCCCTTTGACTTCTAGTGACCCAGTGCCCTTAATTATTGAGTACTCCTCCCGTCAGTCCCTTAGTGAGTTGTGGCAATACCAATTCAATTTCTTTCTTTATTATGCACCCCATACCCATCCCGTGGGCGGTGGTGTAAAGGATTACAGAGGCACATAATCGGTTCAGGAACTGAACCCTTTAGTTCGTTTAGCTAAGCAAATAGCAATCTTTTGACGCTAGTTACAAAATTATTAATGTTATATATACATGTCCACACTCTCATACATACATGTACATATATATATATACGTGTACATATATATATATATATATATATATATATATATATATATATATATATATATATATATATATATATATATATATATACATACATACATATTTAATCACCCACACATATTTAATCACCCATACAAATACACACATCAATAATCTTTTGTGTCTCAGTGATCAACAAGAGGCTCACAACAGTCACTATACAAGGCACTTTACATCTATAATGAGTCGCACAGTTACTAAGTCTTGCTGCACACCCACCCAACTGGGCGGCAGCTTTACAGTCATGTGCTCCACCCACACCCACCCAACTGGGCGGCAGCTTTACAGTCATGTGCTCCACCCACACCCACCCAACTGGGCGGCAGCTTTACAGTCATGTGCTCCACCCACACCCACCCATCTGGGCGGCAGCTTTACAGTCATGTGCTCCACACCCACCCAACTGGGCGGCAGCTTTACAGTCATGTGCTCCACCCACACCTACCCAACTGGGCGGCAGCTTTACAGTCATGTGCTCCACCCACACCCACCCAACTGGGCGGCAGCTTTACAGTCATGTGCTCCACCCACACCTACCCAACTGGGCGGCAGCTTTACAGTCATGTGCTCCACCCACACCCACCCAACTGGGCGGCAGCTTTACAGTCATGTGCTCCACCCACACCCACCCATCTGGGCGGCAACTTTACAGTCATGTGCTCCACCCACACCTACCCAACTGGGCGGCAACTTTACAGTCATGTGCTCCACCCACACCTACCCAACTGGGCGGCAGCTTTACAGTCATGTGCTCCACCCACACCAACCCAACTGGGCGGCAGCTTTACAGTCATGTGCTCCACCCACACCCACCCAACTGGGCGGCAGCTTTACAGTCATGTGCTCCACCCACACCCACCCAACTGGGCGGCAGCTTTACAGTCATGTGCTCCACACCCACCTACCCAACTGGGCGGCAGCTTTACAGTCATGTGCTCCACCCACACCCACCCAACTGGGCGGCAGCTTTACAGTCATGTGCTCCACCCACACCTACCCAACTGGGCGGCAACTTTACAGTCATGTGCTCCACCCACACCTACCCAACTGGGCGGCAGCTTTACAGTCATGTGCATGCATTACCTACAGTAAGCAAATTTTGGATACTTCGCTAAGATTTCGGGCAGCACATCATTATGAATGAAGTACTTACACATTTCTTGGACACTATTGATGGTGTTATCTCTAAATTCTGCGATTTTTTCACATTCCATTATATAATGACGCAAAGTATGCGAATAGTTCTGCTGACAGAGTTTACATTTAGTCAAATCTACATCAGCAGATGTTACAAATTCCCAGAGGTACTTGTAGCCGAGCCTAGTCCTAGCATTGGTAACATCTTGAAGTCTGCTAACCTTATTGGATGACCCATAGACGTGCGGTTCTTCCTGCATAATAGAATGATGATAGATGGAGTAACTGTCAATACCTAGAGTGTCCCGTCTTGCTCCCGTGTATTCTATGGTACACCATAAGGGGGTTTCAGGGTAATTCAAGTACCAGACCAGGATCCTGTTACCATTCCTTTGTTCCGTACACCTGCCCCGGTAGGATGTTATATGATCTACACGTCGTATGGTTCTCTCCGGTCCCCTGTCCGGTAACTCAGGTGGTGGCAGCGTTAATTCTTACTTGGTCAAACATACGAAGGCTGATAGCAGCTAATATTCCTATCTCTCTCCCTCTCTGGCTCTGTCTCGCTCTCCTTCCCTTTCTCTCGTGCTCTCTGCTCTCCCTGCGTCTCTCTCTCTCTCTCTCTTCTCACTATCTCCCTCTCTCTACCCCCTTTAGTTGCCTACGCAGATCTCAATCTATATTGAGTAATTGTTTTGGTCCTCGTATGACGGAGCGAGTGTTAACATAGTACAAGATCGGTGGAGCATCCGTTATTACAATACAAGTGGCGGGGGGGCGTATAGGTTATTACAGCTGGGGACTGTTGGTCACTGTCCAGGTCACTGTCCAGGTCACTGTCCAGGTCACTGTCCAGGTCACTGTCCAGGTCACTGTCCAGGTCACTGTCCAGGTCACTGTCCAGGTCACTGTCTAGGTCACTGTCCAGGTAACTGTCCAGGTCACTGTCCAGGTCACTGTCCAGGTCACTGTCTAGGTCACTGTCTAGGTCACTGTCCAGGTCACTGTCCAGGTCACTGTCCAGGTCACTGTCCAGGTCACTGTCCAGGTCACTGTCCAGGTCACTGTCCAGGTCACTGTCCAGGTCACTGTCCAGGTCACTGTCCAGGTCACTGTACTGAATATGTTCATTTCCTCCCGCTCCCTTTCCTGACACTGAACCCCAATGTTTACCTCCTAGATGACAGTGGCGGAGTGTCCGTGCCTTCTTCAGCTTCTGGTCGTAATTGTCAACATCTTTGCTACATGCAGCGACTCTCTTCTAGCTCAAGTACCCAACTCTGCTGTTGTATGGTGTGTCGCTCCGAATCTATTCGCCGCTGCTCTAGACGATAGTTAAGGGACCTCAAGTATGTTAATTAATCTGGTCACTGTCCGTTAAGGTGTTATTCCGTTATGTTTTTGTTGACCTTTCTTGAAACGCAAATACTCAGGTATTTGCCGAGATACAGAGTCCAGGGACATATCATGCAGCATATTGGCTAACTTTATATGATAACAATTATTCAAGATAGTAACTTTGAATGTTACTGACAGTCTGTTAACTTTGAATGTTACTGACAGTCTGTTAACTTTGAATGTTACTGACAGTCTGTTAACTTTGAATGTTACTGAGAGTCTGTTAACTTTGAATGTTATTGACAGTCTGTTATCTTTGAATGTTACTGACAGTCTGTTAACTTTGAATGTTACTGAGAGTCTGTTAACTTTGAATGTTACTGAGAGTCTGTTAACTTTGAATGTTACTGAGAGTCTGTTAACTTTGAATGTTACTGACCGTCTCGAACTGACGTAGTGAAACAACAAACTAATATTTTTGTGCAAGTATTTATTTTGAAAGTATTTCTACTATATGGAGTGAATGCTTAGATAAATCTTTATTGATATTCAAACCCGACAGTCAAATATTAACTGTTATTATGTTTGTGTATCGTGTAGCATTGTTGTGTAAATTATGGAGAACATTTAAGCGGGCAACCAGAGTCAGTATGACAGCATGGGCAGCATGTTGTGTGTAGGGCAGCATGTTGTGTGGAGGGCAGCATGTTGTGTGTAGGGCAGCATGTTGTGTGTAGGGCAGCATGTTGTGTGAAGGGCAGCATGTTGTGTGTAGGGCAGCATGTTGTGTGAAGAGCAGTATGTTGTGTGTAGGGCAGCATGTTGTGTGGAGGGCAGCATGTTGTGTGAAGAGCAGCATGTTGTGTGAAGGGCAGCATGTTGTGTGTAGGGCAGCATGTTGTGTGAAGAGCAGCATGTTGTGTGGAGGGCAGCATGTTGTGTGAAGAGCAGCATGTTGTGTGGAGGGCAGCATGTTGTGTGAAGAGCAGCATGTTGTGTGAAGGGCAGCATGTTGTGTGTAGGGCAGCATGTTGTGTGAAGAGCAGCATGTTGTGTGTAGGGCAGCATGTTGTGTGTAGGGCAGCATGTTGTGTGGAGGGCAGCATGTTGTGTGAAGGGCAGCATGTTGTGTGAAGGGCAGCATGTTGTGTGTGTGTAGGGCAGCATGTTGTGTGAAGGGCAGCATGTTGTGTGTGCGTAGGGCAGCATGTTGTGCGTAGGGCAGCATGTTGTGTGAAGGGCAGCATGTTGTGTGAAGAGCAGCATGTTGTGTGAAGAGCAGCATGTTGTGTGAAGGGCAGCATGTTGTGTGAAGAGCAGCATGTTGTGTGAAGGGCAGCATGTTGTGTGAAGGGCAGCATGTTGTGTGTGTGTAGGGCAGCATGTTGTGTGAAGGGCAGCATGTTGTGTGTGCGTTGGGCAGCATGTTGTGCGTAGGGCAGCATGTTGTGTGAAGGGCAGCATGTTGTGTGAAGAGCAGCATGTTGTGTGAAGAGCAGCATGTTGTGTGAAGAGCAGCATGTTGTGTGTAGGGCAGCATGTTGTGTGAAGGGCAGCATGTTGTGTGAAGGGCAGCATGTTGTGTGAAGGGCAGCATGTTGTGTGAAGAGCAGCATGTTGTGTGTAGGGCAGCATGTTGTGTGAAGGGCAGCATGTTGTGTGAAGGGCAGCATGTTGTGTGAAGGGCAGCATGTTGTGTGTAGGGCAGCATGTTGTGTGAAGGGCAGCATGTTGTGTGAAGAGCAGCATGTTGTGTGAAGGGCAGCATGTTGTGTGAAGGGCAGCATGTTGTGTGTAGGGCAGCATGTTGTGTGAAGGGCAGCATGTTGTGTGAAGGGCAGCATGTTGTGTGTAGGGCAGCATGTTGTGTGTAGGGCAGCATGTTGTGTGTAGGGCAGCATGTTGTGTGTAGGGCAGCATGTTGTGTGGAGGGCAGCATGTTGTGTGAAGGGCAGCATGTTGTGTGTAGGGCAGCATGTTGTGTGTAGGGCAGCATGTTGTGTGTGTGTGGAGGGCAGCATGTTGTGTGAAGGGCAGCATGTTGTGTGTAGGGCAGCATGTTGTGTGTAGGGCAGCATGTTGTGTGTAGGGCAGCATGTTGTGTGTAGGGCAGCATGTTGTGTGTGTGTGAAGAGCAGCATGTTGTGTGTAGGGCAGCATGTTGTGTGTAGGGCAGCATGTTGTGTGGAGGGCAGCATGTTGTGTGTAGGGCAGCATGTTGTGTGAAGGGCAGCATGTTGGGTGAAGGGCAGCGAGTCAACATTGTGCAGCAGGGTGTGAGGTGGTGGAGCTCGCAATACTGCAGCACTTTACCTCAGTACCTCAAGGCTAACGTTGTGTGAATGTTGGATGTGGGTGTTCCTGCTCTAGGGGAAAGGAATTATCAGGGAATAGCGCCATGCCATTATCACTATATAGCACTTGGAAGGGGTCAGGATAAGGACTTGGGATGGGACGGAAGAAAGGAATAGATTAATTGTTAAAGTTATATAGTAAATGTCATTTGCATATTTAAGGAGATTATGACGACAACCTTCCTGTGCTCCTGAGATTAAATAGAGATAAGAAGGAAAGATGGTTGAAGAAACTCTTGAGAACACTATTATTATTTACGAAGATTACAACCAGATGTTTACTGCTGTACCTAATAGTCAGAACGCAGAACTTGGCCTACTATGCAAAGCCCGATTTGCCTAATAGCCAAGTTTACCTGAATTTATATATTTTTGTATTTTTCTTATGAAATGATAAAGCTATCCATTTCATTATGTATGAGATAATTTGTTTTAATTTGAGTTATAACTAACGTAGATATATGACCTAACCTAACTTACCTTAACCTAACCTAACCTACCCCTACCTAACCTAACCTACCTTAACCTAACCTAACCTACCCCTACCTAACCTAACCTACCCTACCCCTACCTAACCTAACCTAACCTAACCTACCTTAGCCTATCCTAAACTAACATAACTTAGTAAGCAATTTATGTTCTTAAAGTAATATAATAATAATATTTCAAATAAACCAATTGGTAATTTTTTTTTTTGAAAATAAAGAAAATCACTCGGCCTATTAGGAAAATCGAGCCTTGCATAGTAGGCCGAGAAGTTCGTTCTGGCTACTAGGTACGACATTGGCGATGAATAACGCCATGAATGGTGAAGATATAAGCAACCAAAGTTGTCATATAAGCAACAAAAGTTGTCATATAAACAACAAAAGTTGTCATATAAGCAGCAAAAGTTGTCATATAAGCAGCAAAAGTTGTCATATAAGCAGCAAAAGTTGTCATATAAACAACAAAAGTTGTCATATAAGCAACAAAAGTTGTCATATAAGCAACAAAAGTTGTCATATAAGCAACAAAAGTTGTCATATAAGCAGCAAAAGTTGTCATATAAACAACAAAAGTTGTCATATAAGCAGCAAAAGTTGTCATATAAGCAGCAAAAGTTGTCATATAAGCAGCAAAAGTTGCCATATAAGCAACAAAAGTTGTCATATAAGCAGCAAAAGTTGTCATATAAGCAGCAAAAGTTGTCATATAAACAACAAAAGTTGTCATATAAGCAGCAAAAGTTGTCATATAAGCAGCAAAAGTTGTCATATAAGCAGCAAAAGTTGTCATATAAACAACAAAAGTTGTCATATAAACAACAAAAGTTGTCATATAAGCAGCAAAAGTTGTCATATAAGCAGCAAAAGTTGTCATATAAACAACAAAAGTTGTCATATATAGCAAAAGTTGTCATATAAGCAACAAAAGTTGTCATATAAGCAACAAAAGTTGTCATATAAGCAACAAAAGTTGTCATATAAGCAACAAAAGTTGTCATATAAGCAACAAAAGTTGTCATATAAGCAACAAAAGTTGTCATATAAACAACAAAAGTTGTCATATAAACAACAAAAGTTGTCATATAAGCAGCAAAAGTTGTCATATAAACAACAAAAGTTGTCATATAAACAACAAAAGTTGTCATATAAGCAACAAAAGTTGTCATATAAGCAACAAAAGTTGTCATATAAGCAACAAAAGTTGTCATATAAGCAACAAAAGTTGTCATATAAACAACAAAAGTTGTCATATAGACAACAAAAGTTGTCATATAAGCAACAAAAGTTGTCATATAGACAACAAAAGTTGTCATATTAACAACAAAAGTTGTCACATAAACAACAAAAGTTGTCATATAAGCAACAAAAGTTGTCATATAAGCAACAAAAGTTGTCATATAAACAACAAAAGTTGTCATATAGACAACAAAAGTTGTCATATAAGCAACAAAAGTTGTCATATAGACAACAAAAGTTGTCATATAAGCAACAAAAGTTGTCACATAAGCAACAAAAGTTGTCATATAAGCAATAAACCGACGAGAGCGACCAGTTACTGAGGGTGCTCACCTATCACTGACCACTGGGCATAAGACCTAACTCTTCACACAGTCCACGAGCCTCGTTATACTAGTTGTGGTTCAGCTGTTTTGTTCTCACGTTCGAATGTATAGTCAAATCTGGCCATAAGTCAACCTTCCTCCTGAAATTATAGTACTTAAACCAACTGTTTGGTGGAAAGTACCAATAAGTTGTGATGGGCCGCCTGTGCACCACTATTTGTGCCAATAATTTTATAAAGCGCAGAAAAAATAAAGTTAAAAACCAAACTTAAATATTGTTAGATCTAGTATAGCACAAATATACTATATTAGACCTAAGGTAGCATATATTAGGCCTGAGAGAGTCGGGGTTTGGTTAGGTGTTATATATATTTTATGGTTAAAGAAAGGTTCCGGTTTATCCAAATTTAAGAATGCCAAAGGTGAACTTCCTGGTGGAGCATCACAACATATTGGTACGGTCGTCCTCCAGGTCACATTAATTACTCTCATTTTAGGAGGATGGCTGCTGTCCATGCCTCGTGCTCACCTCATGTATAGAGTATGAATGTTTCCTGGCAGTTCTTTGATTCATTTGAGTTTCCAGCTTTAACTTCTATCTTCTTGTCCTATTTTCTCTCAAATTAGATGGGCTGTCCGTGTATACTTTGTCTATTCCCTAAATATGTTTTATGTTGCGATCATATGTCCTGTTTCCTCTGACCTCCAGGGTTTTGAGAGCCTTTTCCCTCAAA